GTGTAAAAGTGTTCAAATCTGGATCAGTCTGTATCAGATCCGTTGCAGCCCCTTTTTTAGAGATTTGGGTATGGAGGAAAATAGAGAGGGTTGTGTTTTCTGACACTCGGTGAGTTCCCTGGAACACCGGGGACACATATTTATGTATAAAAGACGTACAAAAGTGCATTTTGCATGATAGGTCACCTTTAAAATACACATAGTATTTCCTCTGTAAATATAGACACATTTCTTCATATGGCATCAACCCCCATTTTATCCCAGTCAGCATGTTTACCTGGAGGTCCTGTGGGTGGAGGATGGTGAAGAGACTGGGCTTGAGACTCTAAATGCATAAAACACAATGTCAGAAGAAACCAGGATAACTTAATGGAACAAATAAATAACCATGGCATTACTTCCATTATTCAAATCCAGCACTCACCCTCTGCTGTTCTCAATTGTGATGATCTCTCTCTTTGAGATGCTGCTGCTGCTGCTGCTGACACAATGACAATGCAATTATTTCAATGACATGATAAATAAATGGTTGTGTTTTGTAAAAAGGTTATTCACTGAGGCATCTCACCTGGTGGAAGAAGACAGACTGGATGCATTTGTGATGGATTTAGGCAAGAGGGTGCCGTACAGGTCATCCTCGGCACTGTAGAGAAAAAAAACACACAAACATATGAGTTTGAAATCCTTTTTTTATTTTAAAAATAAAAAAATATTGAAGGAGGTCGATCTTACGAGGTGGAACTCCTTGTCGTGGTGGTAGCTTTAGTATCATTTCTGAAAAAAAAGAGAAATGATTGTTATCAGACTGACTGGTATTTATGGTTATAGTCAGTTTGTTAAAGCTGTGCTGCAGTTACTCACCCATTGCTGCTGCTGCTCACTGTCACATACTCAGTGCTGGAGATAGTTCTTTTGCTGTAAAGAGGGACAAAAAACTCCATTACAATATATAGTTTTTGAATATTTCATATTTTTCCTTGACTTGTTATCCATATAATTCATTTTCTAGTTTTATTTTGGGAATATCACCTGTCTGAGGATGAGTAATCATCCTTGATCTTCGAGGGGACGAGTGTGTCAAACAGATTGTCCTCAGCACTGCACAGAAATACAGGTTAAGTTGTAGGTGATGTAAAAATGTAAGCATATTAGTTGGAAAATGGGAGCTTTACACCTCTTATTAAATCATCTTTTATTTTCTAAGAGAAATATCCTGTTATATTTTCTTGTAAAATGTACTTAGTCTTACTTTAATACAAAAATATGGAAGGGTTATATTACCTTAAAAATTATTATTATATCTATCTATTCTTATCTTCGCTCTAAGGCACAAAGACACACTGAAAGGGGAACAGGCATCGCAAGACCACACTGTACACTCACACCATTCACACGCCCACTGACCATCTGGGCCTCAAATAAGCCTTCGTGTCTCATGTGCATGGAGCTAAATCTTTATTATGTATAGGCTCAGTGCAATACAGTATATAAAGGATATCCCTATAGAGGTCATGGTTTAGAAGCATAGGGCTAACATGTGTCTATGTTCTACTTTTCGTCAACAAATCCCATGAAACAAAGTACTTTATGATTTTTCTACCCTGTCTTTTGCACTCAACCTCTAGTCCATTTGTTCCAATTGAAGATGTACATATATTTTTAATTTATTAGAAAAGTCTCAGTCATTTCTTTTACTGTAGTTTTAGAAGACATTACTCAAATGGGAACAAATGGTGCATTTGTATAAGGACTGTTTTTAAGAGGAAGACATTTCGTTTTTTGACATTTTCTTCTGACTAACTTGAATATAAAATTACCAAAATAATACACAGCCTCCCCTGTATTGTACACACTATGGTTTGAAACTCACTCAGTGTCAGCGCTGCTTCTCACTGTCACAGTCTGAACCGTGGAGACAGTCTTTCTGCTGTAAAGAAAAAAACAAGTATGTAGTTACTGAAGGCCTGGCGTCATTATCAACGTGATTTATTTTCTAGGTTTTATGTATGAAAATATCACCTGTCTGTGGGTGAGTTAATGCCCATGCTCTTCGAGGGGATGAGTGTGTCAGAAAGCTTGTCCTCAGCACTGTACAGAAATACAGTTTAAGTTATAAGTGATGTAAAGATTGAAATTATATTATGATTTAATAATACATTTTTTTTATGATTGTCCATTATGCGCCAACATCTTACTCGTTGCTGCTGCTAATGGTTCTTTCAGTCACGGTTGTCTTTGTTGGTGAGTAGCTTGAGTATAGTGTCCTGTGTGAAAATATATTTCATTTGCTCAAGTATTGTAGTTGAGTTCAAGTTTGAGTTTGTACTTTACTTGTGCATTTCTACAAATGTTATACATTAACTAAAGATATTGCACTTTTCACCTAGCTATTTATCTAAAAACTATAGTTACTTGTGACCTTTTAGATTAATTCAGATTAAAACATTGGATACATTTATAAAAGACAACACATTGTCAAAGATTGAATGAGTGACGCCTAGAATTTGGACATTTAGAGGCCCAAACGGATAAGATGATTATATATTTCACCACATTTACCAAAACAAAGAGAAGAGTCAATAGATGAAAAAACATGTGTGCAACAGTTGATGCTTAGTCATTTGTTGTTAACCTAATAATATGATTATGAGTACTTAGACCACCATTGATTATATTGAAGTATATGTTTACCCTTTGCTTGTATTCTTGACCCTCTCACTGAATGTCTCAGTCATGGTGGGACTCTTAAGCACAGGGGATCTGGAAAAAAAAACCGGAGTTGTCATTAAACAGACACAGAATCAGTGTGTGATAAGTTGAAACATCTTAATGATTTTTGATTTCCTACTTAAGACTCTGGGTGGTGGTGAAGGTGGTCTCAGTGGTTGTGCCATCCTTGCTGACCGAGGAGGTCCTTGAGCTTAAGGTGGAGTAATAGAAAAACCAATTAACAAATACTCAGGTAATCTTTCCTGTGGTTTGGTTAGTAGCAAGTGTTAGTACCTTATATTAGGTTTCCCTATGACAGTTTTGGATGTAGTATTTCTGTTGAGATATGATAAACAAAATCACACATAATGTACTCTGTCGTTGCTGCTTTTTGTGCAATAGACTGAAGCTTTACATACCTGATGGGAGAGTCGGACTTCGGAGATGAGTATGTGCTGCTACAAAGAAGCAGAATGTTAGGATAACTTCATACTAATATAACAAAAAAGAAGCTAGATATTGCACCATTTGTTGTTTTATCATGAAAATGTACCTTTTTGAGTAGGAGGATGTCCTGCTGGAGGGGAGGGTGCTGGTTAAAGAGATGCATTGTTAAGCAACAGTTTGGTTAAAATGACTCAAAGAGCCTGAACATAAATAAAGGATCTCAGCACAAATGAACAGGCACTGTGTGTCTGCAGAGGAAAACAACTATAAATGAGAATAAATACTAACCTGCTGCTCGTCTTATCCTGACTTCCGGTAAATCTACAATGACAGAATCACAATCAAAGCTATTTTCTGTTGTTTTCTGTTTTTCAAAAACAACTGCTAACACAACGTTTATTCAAAATCTACAAACATTTGAAAATTGTTCAAATGATTTGTTTGTTAATATCGTACCTCTTGCTGAGCGACTGCACAGATGTTGAAGTTTTTGTAGTTGTGGTGGTTTTTACTTCCTCACCCCCTGGACTGTGAGCAAAGGACAATGAAGGATGTAAATAGACTAAGGGCTCATTTTTACATTACACCCAGTTGCTGTTTGTGCGACCCTTATTGAATAAATATTTAATTGTTGTTTTACCCCACAGAAGTCTCATCGGTTTTGACCTGGCTTAGAACAGTTTTGCCAAAGTTTGGATCTCGGCTGAAGGAGGGAAAAAAAGATCACAAGTTAATTCATTTATACTACCAGAGGCGACTCATCACTGTGTCTTGCAAAAGGAATGTAGAAAGAGGTTTTTTTTAGACAAAGGTAGAATTGAACTACCAGTCACACCCAACAGCTATGGCATTGTGTGGGTTTGCCAGTTTGGAATATTTGATTTGTTCACTATGTTTTCATGACTCACTCGACAGCTTCATCCTCATCGTCCACTTTTCTGATCCAGCTGTTGTCTTTCAGCAGGGAGGCTGAAAACAAAAAAGACTTGAGTGTCTCCAACTCACATTTTCAAGGAAGTTAGACTCATTTTGAGCATTAAAAACTTAAATTAATACGAAAGTGCCTATTAGTGAAGCTCCTACGGTATTCTTTTTGGACAATGTACACATAATATTACACTCAGGTGGCTTTGAACGTACTGTTTCCTGGAGATACTTCAGAAACTGATGATGATGAGGCTGATACAAAATACATATTCAATGTGTTTTAAAGTGTTCAGAATTGTCTTGCATTGAAATGGACAGAAAGTATGACATGTAATTAAGTATTTGAATAAAGAAAAATGATTGCCAATGATTTGCATTTTGAGTAAAATACACAATTAAAGTATTTTTTTGTGTTTGAAATATAATTTGGTTGTGAATGGGTTCATCATTGTTCTTCATTGTCAGGCTTTTCAGTTCAGCGTAAAGAATATGTTGATATTTGGCATTTTCTTTCATCTCTTATACTGTTTTTAATCAATCTTCATATATTTTATTTTATTTTATTATATGACATTTATTTTTATCCTGTGCTGTTACGTTTACTGTCTAATTATCAGCTTGTTCAGTCATCAGTAATGACTTACATTACATATATAAAGGGCTACTAAATACTCAATAATATTAAAAACATTTATTTTCCAATATTTAAAAAACAGGCGTACTGTATTACTCTTATGGCTGTGATTAAAAATGAATGTGCGATAAATAATAACAATAAAAAGAAAATGTGAAATAAGAAATAGAGAAAAATATATTACGGATGAAATAAATCAATTTGAATACAATTAATAAACAGGTATTACAGTTGTAGAAGAGTTGGATTAACATAATTTGACAAATGCAACCTTTGGATATTGACATTACAATGTGGTTTTTTAGTTTTCTGTATTTTATTTATTTATATCTCTTAATACTTACGCGCTTTGTATGCTGAATACGCGCTCATTTTGTAACCTGTGTGTGAAAAAACAAGGAAATTCATCACATAATGAAGCCACATTGGCCACTAGATGGTACTGTGGAATAACGTCTGACCTGAGATCACTACATGAACTTAACAATCAAAGCTATTACTTATGTCATTGTTCTCCTTACAGTATGTGCACTTTCTTATGGCATGCAGTGTTTCTCAACATGCCACTCACTGATTGAGCCCCAAACTGGTTTGTCTTGATCTGTGTCCACCTGCCCTTCATAACACACCTTTTTCAAACACAGTATTGTCGGAAAAACAGAAGGGCGTACCAGTATCATTCCATTAGCTATTCGTGATAAGATCACGCCCATTCAACTAAATGCACTACAGAGCACAAACAAATCCATACCAGGAACAATTAAGCAGATGTCCACAGCTGGGAGGGTGGTTATAATTCGTAAATGCACAATATGTCTGATTATAAGTTGCTCTGTCAAATTAGTGCTATTTGCCTTTAAAAAAAATGGTTTAGCGTAGGGCTTGAAGTTGTTTGAAAGATCCATATCACAGATGTCTTGCATTTCAGAGCTAAAAACTGAACTGTTTACTTTGAGTTGTCTTTAAACTTTCTGTACTTTTGAGAATAAACTGTAAAACATATCATGATTAATAAAGTGGAATCCTTTACATATAAGCCTTTTATTGAGCATTGTGAAGCTGAAAAACATTGTTCTTGAGGAATACAGTAACTATCAAAAATGTACTGTCAATAACACACTGGTACTTAAATTACTTTTTTAGTGTATTTCTACAAGATGCTTTAAATATTTGTGTCCCTATAAAATATGACTACTATACTGTTACTATATAATAGTGTGTAGCAGATCTGACACAATATCTCAAAGTAGTTTAGTAGCGTTGACTGAAAGCTCTGTCAAGACTGAACATGTCTGTGCCAACTCTACAGGTTAGTAGGAAAAATATGCAAATCATTCATGTTTGCTGAGCACCATCACTTTTCTCTGTAAACGTTTGATCTTAAGCAAAAACAGCTAACATAAATTCAATAAAAGAGTGTGTATGTGTGTGTGCGATGTGTCCCTATAATGAGTCAATATACTTAAAGTCACTTAAATAGTACATCATTACATAGTTACAATACGTTTTCTGCTTCTATTTTCCAGGACCATTAGACCCTAGTATTAAACATCTGGTCTCACAGAACTCCTAAAATCATTACTTTTTTTCTAAGCAATTTCTTTTCCTATGTCTTACATTTCATTACACAAGAATACTACTATAAACTGGCAACTGACAAAAGATTATTAAAAGAGACTGGGTACGTACCTTCACTGATGCCTAGTTGGACAGATAAAGCAAACTCTTACTGTATCTCAGCTGTAATCACCTGTCTATCACTTGACAGTTTGCACGCCTTGTCATTCCTTGAGCTTTTAACCTTGAGGGAGGAGATTCTGAGGCCACCCAAGGGTGTGGCTTCAGACGACAGTCAAAGAAAACGCTCTCTCTCTCCAGATTTTTCTCTTTCTGTCATCGTCGTCTATACCTTAATAATTGTTCGGTTGTCAATCGGCAGAAACAATTTGACTGGGTGGAGTGCTGAAGAACTTGAAATTCTACTTCGAGTAAGCAGAAATGCAATGTGGGTGTGGAAGTGTGTGCCTCTTTAACCTTCAATAACTTTGAAGTGATTTGTAATGTGATTTTACGAGACACTATTAAATAATGTCCTATTGGAAAAATTTGATTCCTATTCACTGTGACATAAAGCAAGAAAAACTATAAAAATATATTTATCTAAGGTCTAGATATATGATTTACCTGTCCCCTTGAACTTTGAACTGAGAACAAAAGGCCCTCGTTTTAAATCAATGAGGGCTGACAATGGACTTTGCACTTTAAACATGTATGCTACTACAAGTACTGTAAGGAATGGTGGTTTTTACTGGGTTAGTATCAGATTATTAGATTAATAATGTATCACACAGGTTTTGTAGTTGAAGTACTTACACCTTCACATGCTGATCACAAAGGCACACAACTGATGCCAGCACAGGTCTCACATATGCACTGAAACTTTGATTAAAACTTCTATTAAATGTAATGTTTAATTACATCTATTAAAGACGAGGCCTCTTTTCTGCTATCAAAAGGGAAGTTACGGGTTATTTAGGGTTACATGTAAGTCCAAAATCATCAGGAGTATAAATAAAACTGAGTGACAATCAGACTGGAACTATAAATGCGCTGTTGTCTGTGACAGCGAGTTTTATTATTGGGTGTGCCCTGTTGTGAATGATCAAAAGTATGAAAGGCACATAGCATGCAGAGGTGTGTCAACATGATACTGACGTGAACCCCTCCTAGTCACAGTGACAGAAGGAATGCAGATTACTCTGGAATGATCGATCTAGGCTAAATGTGAACAGGAAGAGAACATAGTTAATAGAAAGACATTATCTGAATGAAACAAGCATGAATGAAAATCACATCGTAAAGTGTTCATAATAAAGACAACCACGCTTATTTTTATTCTGAGCTGAACTAGCAACATGTTCAGCTAATTTAAAAAAAGGTAAACATTCAAAGTCAAATTTAGCAATTTGGTATAATTATCATTAAGAAAATGTTAGAAAGCGGTAAACTGTATTCTTTCAGTCAACAATCATTTCCTGCCTCATTTATGGATGCACATATTCAAGTGGGATTTACTGACACTGGATGGCGCTAGAGTTACAATGATGGAAATGACAATACAGGTTGTGCAACACTTTTAAAAAAGATAAATATTACAAGTCACCCAAGGACATATATATCACATTAGGACTTTTTGTGTTAGGATAACTGATGACACACACTTAGTTCCAAGGACTTTTTCATTCAAGCCTTGCTTCCTAGATGTGTGAACACCAACTGGATTGCATGTCTGCCATCTCTTTTCATTCTTGTGACACTCATGCCTGGACTATGGCATAATCTTGGCCTAGATATCCCACCCTTCTGTGCTCTATTTATCCCAACAGAATAGAGCTGAGAACACCAGGGATTAAATAGCAGCCTCTGAATGTGAATGCATCCCTAGGCTACACAATTTTTATGCCACATTTTTTAAACCTTCTATCTGAAAACCACTTGAAAAAGGAGGGCCAACAAATGTCTGCAGTTTGTGATTTACAATGGATCTTCATCATACACTTCAACTGAGCTGCTGTTCACTGCAATACGTCTTACTGAAATATTAATTGGACAATCCCTCAGTGTTATGATAGTAAATTCTTACGGTAAGAGTCAGTTGTCGTCACTTACACATGCTGTGAAATTGTGCTTTATAATGCTCTCTTGGTTGCTATGAGAAGAGAATGTAGACCGACCCCTCTCTTGTCATTGGGCCACTGCAAAACCTGGCAACCAATAAAGCATCACTAGGGCCTGTGTAAATCTATCTCTAGTATCTCTACCTCTCTCAATAAATGTGCATGCACATCTACATGTAAACACATTTGAAAGAGATGATATACACATAACACTTATTTAAATGTACTTGCTAAATACATGTTCTCAGCATAACATGGTTGCAACTGCAACATATTTTGCACATACCTGTGAAATGTGTGCTACCTGCACCAGTTTTTCTGTTTATTTTGGCCTTCACTGACATTCCGACTGATGTTATGTAACACGTAGTGTCTCCCAGTTTTCCCCAATGCAGCATTCCTGCTCCTCCTTGTGTTGTCCCTGTCAGAAGGTGAAAATGCAAATATTACTATCATAATAATGTGCATGTTGCATTACGTAAGCACTTCAGTATACCCATGCATTTTGTGCATTTAAGGCATACATAAACTGACAGTGGATTTGTTATCTTGCTAAATGTGATCCACATCATGCATGTTTATAAAAAAAGGTTGTCTTTTGCTTTATGTAGAGAGAGCTACTGCAGCTGGGGCCTGATCAGTAAAGAAGTTCACTGTATCACAAACATCTGATCAAAGCATGATTGCAGTCCTTGTGCAAAGCATAGGCTATTGAAATATATTTTCAATAAATACAGTTTAAAAGGTGCAAACTATGTCCGATATCAAATTGCAGCAACTGTTACGCAGTGGCCACAGGAGATATACATGCAATACTAGTACACATGGTCCCAGCTGCTGAGGTAACAGTAGTTAATTGATTGTAAATGGTAAAAGCAGAGAAGAAATAATGAGCGATGAAGTCAAAGCATTCTTAACTAAATAAAACACTATTTTTAAAGGTCAAACCCGAGCTTCAGCATTTTGTACGGACAACACAGCTTGTAATCGTCTTTAAAATGTGTCATCTCAATGTGCCAATTTTAGATCAAACTGGGAGGGGCCCTGTATGGACATCTGCTAATTAAATGTCCAGCTTCTGACTGTGCTTACTCTGCAAAATAGCATATATGGTTCTGTTTTCTCTCTAAAAGGATGCATTTCACTTTCAAGATTTGGGTTAAAAATAATGAACTAAGCATTGGTATATGTATAGACAGGGAGATAATTGTTCATATGAATCACTGATAGCATCGCCCAGTATAGTCGTATGAAAATATCCCGGCATGCTAGCGACGCAACACTCAGCCAGGGAGGGGAGGGATGATGGAGCTAAGATGGCAGCCCTACTGAGGGTGCTGCCTCTCTGGGGTCAAGAAATATTCAAGGAACGAATGAAACCGAAACACGAACAGGCAGTTTTTGGAAATTAACGGTGCCGTTTCTGCTGTTTTACAAGCACATGTATTATGGCTTGAGAAGATCTATTTTCGGGAGACAAGCACCGTGTTGACGCTGTGGCCGGGATAGGAAGACCGTAGCTGCACCACCAGATTGGCTACAATTTGCGCTTATAATAACCGGGGACCTTGGACGTTTAATTGTGGTATTTCTGCAACTTGGAACGGACAAATAATGTGACATGTGGCGGATTTGATGACAAGTGGATCGCATCTGATGGCTAGAAATTATCTAGCTGTGATATCTTTTGTGTAATATATGCATTGTTCTCCAAAACGATGATGTGTGCTGCTGCGGCAGCGGCCGCCGGTGGAGGGATTCTGCCCTCCTCATCGCCGTCGATGGGGATGGGTGTCCGGGTCATATCTGGAGCAGGAGCCGAGCTCTCCACCATCGGTTCTGGGATGGGTTCTTGTCCGACAGCCGGAGCCCAGTCGGATTGTCGGACTCGGTACCAGCTTTTACTCTCAGGGCGAGCACTGGCTGAACGATACAGACGGATTTATACCACCGCTATTAATGATAAAGAGCAAGGGATAAATCAAGGACGGTGAGTGGTTACCGTAAAAATGTAGATATCAGAGAGGCTGGTCTGTCATCTGTAGGGCTAGCTGTGCTAACTACCATAAGCTATCATTAACCCTTGCTTAACGGTACTACAGTTCAACAACATATACACTTCTGTCAACAGTAATGCATGGCTCTTGAGCTAGACGGGTTATAGTCATACAAGTCATTGTTTTAACTTCAAACAACATGCCAGGAGCCCCATATTTTGGGTGCACCCTCTTGAAGGAGTCGGCTTGCTAGGTAGCATTTTGGCTCTGACTTCCCTAGCTTTATCAGAGCCAGCTAAGCTAACGTTACTTCATCCTTACTCGAGAGGTTTGCAGCCTAGGTGCTTTGGAGATTCTGTTTTCTTTAGTCATTGACACAATCTAATCGAAATTAAAATCCTTACTTACCTGGGTTAAACACATTCAAAGATGTGCTCTATCGGCTTAGAGTTATATTCAAAACAAGCTAGCTGGCTAACTGTCATGACAGCAATTTGTTTAGAGCGATATAGCCATTGCCCAGCTAAATGTACACAAACGTCTTACACTTTCCTGTTTTGTGAATCACTTTTAAACTTCCAAAGCTTGCGTTTTCACGATATGTTAAGATACTTAATCATTTATTATAATTTAATGTAGCTGTGTGGATGTAGGCCCAACGGCGTCACTGTTTCGATTCCTGGCTCTGACGTTACTAACGATAAATAGCATTTCCCAGGTTATCCTCTTGTAAGCTCGTTTTTTTCCAAGAAGCTGATAATGATAAGACATACATAATAAATACAGCATATGGCCCTCCATACACAACGTTTGACGTGTATGGGTGAGGATGTTTGGGAGGTGGATGAACTCATTTGCTTTTCTAGCATTAGCGGGTAATACAGTTACGTCATTCAGGCAGTCAGTCAGGTTGTAGACAGAGTATCTGGATCATTGCAGCATCCTCCCTCACAAACTCAATTGTTTTTGTATCCCCCATCCCCCTCTCCATGTACAAAAACCGACTATATGCTTTTGAAACATACTGTCATAACCATCTCCTTCTGAATGTACAGCTCTATGCAAATGAGCAACAACAGTGTTTCAACCTCTTCATTATATTATTTTGAACTACCATCTTATTAAACAACAATCTTTCTATTAATATGATGGTGGAAATGTTGCTTGCACATACCATTGTGAATTACCTACTATTGTAAACATCAGACATTTTATCAGCCTTGTTTTACTTTGGTATTGTGTGTAGCTTGTCACTTTGTGATCAAAAGGTTGCAGAATGTTAATCTAAGTGTATATGATGGCAAGATATTAAACATCAATACTTAGTTGCACTATTGAGTAATATAACTAAACTATAATTAAACTCTTATTCCGGGCTTGACAAGATGCATTGCTTTTCTGTATTTAGTAGTTATGAATAATGATTACTAAATCATGCACAGCCTTTTCCTTTTTTATTAGTACTGTACATCTATTTTTGGTCCCTTACACTGGTCCTGGCAGCCTGATTCGTAATGGGAATTTATCATGAAAAGCCAAATGCAAATTCGGTTCAAAAGCTTAAAAGAAGACATTTCCACAAAAACAAAATTGTGCTTGTTTTGAGGCTTTGTTAAAATGAGTGACACTGAACCTTGTGACTCCTGCTACATATGTCTGATAGTGAAGAAGGGAACACACTTGCTAGCTTCTTAAAATATAAGCTGAAGATGTGGTTACTATAAAAGACATCTGACATTAATTCAACATTTTGACAGCTAGTCTACACAGTAAACAATGAATGTTGGTTTTTCTGGCTTAAAGAATAATTGTGTTGACTATTAGGTTTATGTCTAATTCTCCTTTCATCATATTTGTAATAAAGCTAATGAGATTTGTAATATGTGATGCTGTATTTTGCAATACTGAGCAACCACTGTGTACTTTCAGGGGAAAGAAGGCTTTGAGTAAGAAGAAACTGAAGAGGCGACAGAAGGTCAAGTCAAAAGTAAAATCAAGAACAAAGGTAAGATATATCACAATTGTTTTTATTGCACGTGTTCCTTAATGTAAGGCTAATATTGATGTTTTTATATTTGAATTGTACTAATTAATATGTTCAGAGATGTTTTCTTTATTTAACCATTCCAATTATACATTATTAAATTATTTTTGTCTTTAAATAAATACATAATACTCAACATCACACAATGTTAATCATACAAAAGTGCAATAAAATAGGGCATAGTCATGCCCTATTTTAGTTAAGTCAAAACAAAACTGAAACTGAAATTAAACAGAACAACTCAAGAAAGAACACACAGTGACTGGACAGTTATCAACATTATGTAGGATAAGAGGAAACAAGGAGGTGTTAATTGTCATATGTGTGCATGTGTATTTCACAAAGTCAGTAGGGATGGGGTTTAACAAGGGAGGGCAGAAGAAATAAATAAAATAAATAATAAAAATGAAAAACATCATCATAATAATAATGATGATAATAATAATGACTAGTTCCATGTAAAGCATTTTAATGAAGCACATACATTTAGTATTGAACATTTTCTCTTTATATTAATGAGATCAACATGATAGACGGTTTTAATTTCATCTGTCACAGCCTCAGGTATGAATTGAGCTGGTATGAATCTAGTTAATTAAATTAACATTTGTAGAGGACACAATAAAAGATAAGGTTATATTCTCTGAAATCTTGAATTTAGCTATTGTCAATAGGTTGATTATTCAATCAACAGAAAAACAATCGGCAACTACTTTGCTCAATGATAAATTGTTTAAGTAATTTTTTAAGCAAAAATATCAGAAGCAGTTTTCAACCTCTTTTTCATAATTTCTGATATTTTATAGAATAATTCCCTATTTTTTTGGAAATATAATCGGAGGATAACTCTATTATGAAAAATATAATTAGTTGCAGCCCTGACCCTGGAGGTGTTTGGCAGTAAAATGTTTTGTCAGTGGCGGAGGCTGGTCAGATGCCACGGAGCCCATCCACACATGACGTTTGAGAGGTGGATGGGCATACAGCGAGTCACATGGGAGTGGCTCTGGTTTGTGCATGATGGCTTGTTGCCGAGCGACCTAATGTGTGCCACATCTCCACGGCAACAGTTGCCTGCCTCCATCTCCTCCGTCCAAATAGAAAACATTAGCTGTATCACTGGAGGTGGTTTTTGTTTTTGTTTATGTTTTAGATTTTGCATTGACAGCATGTATTAACTATTTGATCTTCATACAACGACAACAAATATAATCCTGTTAGATTGTGTTGACGCACTTCCTTGCTATACTTCTCTGAAAAGAGAGGGAGAGCTGGCTTTGTGGTTGGTCTGTAATATTGTTAGCCAGCATTTGGATTTAATTGTATTACACTGTTTTTTTGCCAGTTACTTGGCAGGCAAAGGCAAGACAGATCTATTTAATGTGATAGTAGCAGGGAAGGATGGAGGCTCTAATGCCTTGTCACCCTTCACCTCAAAACTCCATCAGACAGGAAATCCAACGTAGAGAAGGCTGCACAGTTTAAGTTCTCTTCAGGTTGACTTGTTCGGTGAGTTGATGTCCTGGAACAGCAGAAGATCTTCTACAGAGGCAGGGAATGGATAAAGCAGGCAGGCATAAATACGTGGGTAGTTACACAGGCAGTCCTGCTGTATTTGTTTGTGTTGTGTGTCACGCCGGCATAGTCAGACAAGAAAACGAGTGGTTTGAAAGAGCCTCTTCTCCACCTTTGTCTGCTTCTGTACTTATAAATATGTAACAGTGGAGTCCGAACCAAAGAAAAAGCATAAACACTTATCATCCTAATGAAGAGGGTGATGTAACGTCTTGTGTACAAGCAGATGTGTGATGCGTATTTTTCAAAAACTATAATTATATTCACTAGACCTACATTATGGTACAAAAGGATATAACCATTAGAAAACACCAGAAAACTATTCTGTATGCTAGAAATTGAATGTTGAGATTTATTTACATTTATCAACTAGGGATGCCAGAAACTGACCATGATCAAAATCGAAAATCGGACAGCCCTGGCTCATCCTTAGTTGAGTTCGCACTCCAATAAATCAATCGCACGTGTGACGGGGGGGGGGG